AAAGACACAGTTTATTCGAATAGATATAATAAAACAAACCCACGATTCTTTGATTGCCAACTGGATCGCCATGTTTGATTATTCTAAGGCACACTAAAGTAAACGACTCTCTCTCAAAACCTTCAAATTGGCTATCGCTGTGCAAAATCGCCCTATAATGCATTGCAAGCCCTTGAGCATTGAGTATGTCACGTATGTCTATGGATTGTGTATCTTCTATTAGATTTTGTGACTAAAAATTTACATTTAGCGACTATTTTTTACCACTTAGTCACCAAATGGCGACTTAAGGATTTTGTTAATTTCGAGCTCTGCCTTGTATATTATAAAACAGGATGCAAAGAAAATCAATGTTTGGAAAGGCTGTAACTAGTATATTGTTCTAGTCCAACAGTCTTTCTCACTTGTCCAGCCCTCTCAAAATTTCTTTAAATCTCTTACAGTGCTTTATTGGTAATTTGAATTTCCTCAACATTTTCCCAAAAACTTCACTTGCTTGTTGGACATGCAAAGGAGAGAATTCACTAGACCTGGGCTATCTGACACAGCTGGCTGGCTACAGGATGCTAATCACAATGATCTGATTAGAAACTTATTTAATTTTGAACAACACAAACATCACTCACCCAAATAAAAGATTCATATAGAAGGAGCCTTTGCTGAATTGCGACCAGTGATCGTGATAGACTCGCAGAATATCAACATCAGAACCACTGACAGCCTATGACAAAGATAAATCAAAATACTTTGTTACTGCTCCCAACTCAAATACGTTTGCCAATTGGAGGAGAATGTGTCAAGTGTTGTGGGTCAAAACTCACTAACTGTTGTTTCGCTAGGGAAACAACAACCTGAACTTTCGACTCGCGCGTGATCAGGTCGTGCACCCAGAAACAGCGACACAAATTTGTGTGCAAGTCGCGACAGGCAAATGATGTTTTCGGAATTTTTACAATATTTTTGTTGGGAGGTATAACAAAACACTTAATGACTGGCCCCATGGGAAACACTGAGTTTTGCTGAGGGTCTCTAGGAAACAAAACTAACTGTTTCCCTTGGGACCGATCATTAAGTGCTTAATGACTAAGCTTATTCTTTTACTTGGAGCATGAATGAAAATGGAACAATATAGTACGATTTACATGGATCCTGGGCATATACCTTTTTTTTAATGACAAACTAAGGCTTTCTTGTACAGAACAATGAAAACCCTGGGTTACACAATACAACACAAATACAATGTACAGTACAATACAGTAACTTTTATTTCGTCTCAGTTTTTCTTAAACTCCAAAAACAGTCTTTGCTAGAATCTTCCACCCCAAAAAAGTCACAGACAAATTGTCTTAAAAAGTCATGAATTTAAACTGCAAATTTTAAACCTAAAACAGCCTTGATTTAAGTACCTCCATGTCACATACAGTGTAACTCTGTGACACTTTTACGACTGTGGGGTCTGAGTAAGTCAAATTCCTGTGGGACTTTTGATACTTTTTATAGCTACCTTGTAATGAAATCAAGCCAGTTGTAACAGTACAACCTGAATTACGTATGGCTTGTTTAAGTGTAAACAACTGCTTTTGGAGTTTATATTAGATACTGACAAACCTCAAAAAGGCTTTGACTGTGATTCTCCAAGAAATTCTTCACTTCAGCATAAAGTTTTTCACCTAAAGGCTCTGGAAAGGCTACACAAAGAGCATATACATCTCTAGCAAAAGTCAAGAAAGTGAAATTCCAAAAAAGCTGACCACACAATTAGTAATTTTACGTTTCTAAATGAACCTGACATTTTAGCTCATAGTGCAATTTCAGTTTTAGGATGAAACTTTCTGCTACACTATCACTGTCTGTGATATTAATTCAAACTTTTCAAATTACGACCTGAATGTAGTGTAAACTTGACATTTACCATAAAAAAAATTCACGCCAATATAAGCATATGGTTAATCAGGAACTGCTAAACACAAAACTATTATCCACCAAGTCTTAACTGAGATCAAATTTAATATAATTGAATCACCAGTGACAATAACTTTGGGAAGCTTTTTCGCCATCAGGGAAGACATTAAGAGCGACTAGAATATTAAGGTACAATAAATAATGATAAGCCACGTTTTGGAAATTTCCGCTCATTTTGTAGCTGTATAAGACTTACTTTAGTCAATTGCTTCACGATGTATCAAATTCAAAGAACAATGGCTGTTTAATTGTACTGCAAACAGAATGGTGGCAAAATGTGGCCATCACAGCAATCAAAACTCCACCTGAACAGACCAAGAATCTACAGTCAGAGTGCAAGTCGTGTCAAATTATGCATTGCACTTCCCTGTAAAGCGAAGGATACGAAAACCTGTCATTCCAGACCGCTCTTGGAATCTTTTTCAAAGTGACCACAGATTCCAATGTTTCCCGGATCTTAGCCCATGTTTCGTCAAAATTCACAGCCCGAGGTCTCAGTGACATCTTTCATCGTAGAACAACGGATAGGTTCCCAAAAATCTAGCTAAGCGACGAACAGGTTTACAGTCACAGCTCTAAATCTTCCAGACTTTTTCCGCACACGGCACGATTTACGATGACTTGATTGCGCTGGGTAACCACTCCTCCAGGCCATGTTTGGGAGCGCCCGAACAGGTATGATGGGATAACAAACATGATTTCAAGCCGAAAAGGACTAGGTACGAGTCTACAAATTATGGGATTAGCAGCTATTAATCCACATAGTCTTAAAGTGCACACCAAGTTTTACAAAATCCCCAAGTTTGGTAAAAATAGACCCAATAGTAAGCAAGATACAACCATTTGAAAACATCAAAATTAACAAAAAAATGTCTGGCCATCCGGACCCTGTGTCCGGATGACCAAATATTTCTGTGTAATTTTGGCGTTTTTAAATGGCTCTATCTCAGTAAAAACTAGCCTTATTAACACTAAACTTGGGGATTTTGTGAATCTCGGTGTGCTCTTTCTGACTATGTGGATCAATAGTTGCTGATCCTACAATTTACAGACTCGTACCTAGTCTTTTTCCTCTTGAAATCAGGCAATGAGCGCACATCTCCAATCGATACGAGCTACGAAGAGTATGAATATGGGTTATTGCCCAAGCGTGAGGTCAAGATGGCTGGATATTGGCCAAGTTCTTTTTTTTTTTTTTTNTTTTTTTTTTTTTTTTTTTTTTTTTTTGCGTGTTTATGGACCAAGAGGGACTCGAGATCCATAAACACAGAAGAAAAGAACGCGGCCAAAACACATTTCTCTTGCGGAACACAGCGCTTTAATTGGTGTGCTCCTAAAACAGTAAAAACTATACTAGGAGGTTTAGTAGAAGCCCGCTCGGGTAGCCAATCACAGTGCGGAATTTGTTTCATCTTGCCCGCACACGGAACAAGCCATATAATAGATGTCCATATCACATGGGTTCTCCCCCAACCAACGGAAAACAGAATATTGCCGAGAGAAAAAGCACTCCTTCGCTGAACTACAATGAGACCGTCGGTATTAGATGACCATTCACGTAAATTATAAATAGTCTGGGCGCTTTTTCGGGGTGGGTGGGTGTAGGCAATCTTGTGCCCAGATAAGAACCCACGGAGTTTTGTTCCGCGACTTCAGTGGGAATTGCGAGGTCGTCTTTAAAAGAAACTCGAAGTGCAATTCGTTAGTCATTGATCATAGAAAGAGAGGTAAAATAACAATAACAATAACAATAGCAATAACAATAACAATAACAATAACAATGACAATGACAATAATAATAATAATAATAATAATAATAATAATAATAATAATAACAATACCGCAATCATGAGAACGAGAAGAAGCGCCTTTACGCGAGGAGGGTTTTGGATATCGAACAAGGAACTTTTACACCCCTTATTTTCACGTCAACAGG